GTCCGTTATTTTCTCGCCAATGCGGATGAAATATTATGCGGGCTACTTGTTGTTAGGTACTGGCTGTCCACAGATAAATCACTATTTCAGTTGCCTCCGAGAGTGTACCACTACTGATCAGCGGCAGCCAATGGATCCCAATTCATTAAACAGGAAGACAAGGAAGGACCAGCAAAAGGTTAGTCATCACACATATAATTTTTAAAGAATATATTTTGAAGTGTTCAACCTGATAGCATTACACTGTAGAATAATATCCCCTCTAAGTCGCACTGAGCCGAGTCCTTTGGTAGATCAAGAAAAGTACCGACGCTTTGGATTTTTTCCAACGCTTGGGAGAGTCGCTCAGAATTCTGTCAACGCGTCGTGATATTCTACGTCGTTTAAACTCCGACCTTTTAGCTTTTAAATAAGCCTGAAATTCGTTACTAGAGGCTCAGCTCATTTCTACTGTGATTCTTTTTTTCGGCAGAGAAAACAAGCCGTGCTTTTATTTTACAACGAAATTGCGTCAAATATAAATTTGTTGATAGTCATGGGAAATACCTATTGGCGTATCTCCACAAACACAGGGTGTCTCATTTCATTTCTTCGATTTGTATGTTGTCAATAAAGTGTTTGTATAAACTCTGAACATGTATTATGGCTCACTTCCCCACCCCCCTCTATCTCTCTCTCCCTCCTTCAATTTCTCTCCCTCTCTCTTTCTACCACCCTCATCCCTCCTCTCTAGAGGAGGGATGAGCGACTTTCTTTCCCGTGCATTTCGTTGCAGTGAGTTGTCTCCACTGATTACATCCCTTAAATGTATAACTGATATACAGGCCAATAGCAACATCCATCAACTCACAAGGACATTAGTGCTAGCTTTAGCCATTGGTTAGTTTGCCCAATTAACATTCACGCCTCATTCATACTTCACCGGAACTTTTATCTTACTTTCCATTTCCTCCCTTTCATACTTTCTCCCCTTACACACCACTGTGAACCATATTGTATGCGTTGCAAACTTCCTTTTGGAAAACTTCATGCTGGAAAGCAAATATCGTGTTTCATATAGGAGGTTATAGCCTTTTTAGTTTATATTACTAAAGTAAAATTGAACATTTCCTAAATCAATGCTTCCTGTTCTGGTGTAACATTCATACACAATTTTCCGTTTATGCAAGGATAAGAGTTATAATGAACATTTCTTATATTCAGAAAACCATTTGAGGATAAGGAAAGAAGCGCGTTCGTAGTTATGTGAATGTTAAAAAAAATGCTAGAAGCCAGCATATGCCAAAGCTTTTGGTAATGACTTTTAGTGTCAATTACCGAATGCTAATAATTGTACCGATACAAATCTTAGGTTTGTCCAGTTAGTACTATCGGTATTCATATTAATAACTTTGGACTGGTACGGTGACGGTTAGGTTAGGTTAGGTTAAGGTTAGGTTAGGTTAGGTTAGGGTTAGGTTAGGTTAGGTTAGTTAGGTTAGGTTTGGTTAGGTTAGGTTAGGTTAAGTTAGGTTAGGATTAGGTTAGGTTAGGTTAGGTTTAGGTTAGGTTTAGGTTAGGTTAGGTTTGGTTAGGTTAGGTTAGGTTGGTTAGGTTAGGTTTAGGTTAGGTTTAGGTTAGGTTAGGTTAGGTTAGGTTAGGGTAGGTTAGGTTAGGTTAGGTTAGGTTAGGTTAGGTTAGGTTAGGTTAGGTTAGGTTAGGTTAGGTTAGGTTAGGTTAGGTTAGGTTAGGTTAGGTTTGGTTTAGGTTAGGTTAGGTTTAGG